CCCCAAAACCCCAAAACCCCAAAACCCCATTTTGTAAAAAAATTATAATTTAAAACTTACTTAAGAAATGTCTATTTATTCAGGCTTTGGAACCAGACAGCAAGAAGGGTTTTATAATAAGATCATGCTTAGAGCTATGGAGATGGTCTCAGACCGTCTCATTGCCTTTGTCAGAGGAGATGGGTTTGAAGAAGAGTCTTGGTATTTTCATTTAAGAAAAATATTCAAGTATATGGAGGTCATGGAGAGGCAAAAGTATTTAGACCCAAAGTTTTCTAATGGTCTTAGAAAATTAATCAAAGTGTATAAATAAACATCTTAATATCCCTGAGTAAGCCTTTTTAATTGTTAAGATATTTTAAGCTAATCTTGTCTAGCAATTCGACAATGACCAGCCGTAGCCTTTTATTAAACAGTAATAAGAAAGAGATTGAAGAAGTTTTAGCAGATACTTTACCAGAGAACTCAATTAAAGAAGGAACTGATGAAAAAGATGCAAGCCAAGATAATCAAAAATCAACTTCTGGAAATTCTTCTAAAGCTCAACAAGACAGACATACAGATTTTAATATGAATAATCCATCAATGGTTAAGAAGAGTTATGACCAGAAACTCAAAGAGACTCATTCAAGAGAGATTAAGGCACCAGGTAACAGTAGTGTATTGATAAAAAAAGATTAGCTTTAGTATTATCAAAGAGAATATATCTCAAACTTATAATTAGTATAATTTATCAATTTTTCTTTGACTTACTAGTAAAATTTTACATCCGATTTAAATGTGTTTTCTCTCAAAACTTCACAAAATAATTGAGGCAAGATATTACCCATCAAAGATAGGAGTAAAAGTCCAACTAAAGATTTTGTATAATAGATGATTATGAAAATGCATTTGTCCAGTACAATCGTCTTGATAATACCCCCAAAGTTAGGGTCTTGAACTACAACCGAGAAGCTCAGAATGCAAGTAGTCTTAACAGGAGGTTTTATGACCAACTTGTAACTCCTAATGTAGCATTTCCATCCCAAATGGGGCACAGGAAAGGCCGAAGAGTCCGAAGGATAAGATTACAGAAGAATGGGAATATTTATAGTAAAGCTACAAAATCCAACAATAGGGAAGTTATTCGATCAGTGCCAAAACATTTCAATAGAAAGAAATTTGGTCAAACCAAAATGAATCTTAGTATGATCGATGGAGCTCCTATTTTAGAAGCAGAGGCTGAAACTATCTTAGCTGCATCGAGAAAGAGCAGACGGAAATATAATAGGGTTAGGAAATCAAGTAAAACCTCGAAGTATAAGCCTTCATTTCAGACTAGCTCTAGAAGATCGAATTCAGTAAATTCTCATCGAACTAAACGAAGATCTTCCTCTAGAAGGAGGAGCATGACTAAGTTCTTTGTCAAGAAGAAGGATAACAAAAGTAACTCTCACATGAGACCAAACAGATATCTGAAAAATATTCTCCCTATTGTTGCTAATGAGGGCGGAAGAGGAGCAATTGCCCAACAGTTTAGCTCTGGAAACCATATTTAATTCAGTTTTGGTTTTGAAAATTTCAAGTTTTCTCTGTCTTAAAGGGGTTTTGGGGTTTTGGGGTTTTGGGGTTTTGGGG